AGTGTGTGCCACGACGCGTTACGAGTACAATATCAGAATTTCTGTTCACTATTAAAATTCCATTTAATTTAATTATTAACTTTTGAATTTGAATAAATAATCTGTTACCTAAGTGCGAATAATTCTGGAATCGGAGTACCATCTAAGCCTTTCAGTAGCCTTTCGCAATATTGTATTGTATTGAATCGACTGGTGGACAAAACAAAAATTCAATAATTCCGCAACCGAGATATATGAAATGTGACCGCAACGCAAACACTTCTTAACTATGCATTTATGTGCACATTATAAACAAATTAAATGTGTAAGTTAAAGGATTAATGAACACCTTTCATATTCTCGCATGTACATACATAAGTGCATACGTGTAGGTAATAAGTAAGAATCACGTCCTTGTACTACAAAATTTTCGGCCAACTTGGCAGGAATCATTGCGAAACTAAAAGTAAAAAAGGAAAGCGAATAAACGCATAAATTGAAGCAACAAGCAAGGACGTGTGAACTGGAGATTGCTTGACGCCAACAACAACCAAGCAAAATATTCACTGTGAACTGCTTGGCTGGCTGTCTTCACGGCGGGTTTAGCTCCAAAATGTACTACATACAAATTTGCATTTTTATTAGCAATAAGAGTACAACAGTGACTGCAGTTTATATGAGGTGATTGCAGTTCTTTGACACATCACAAAGCACACATAATCATACAGATACAGTCACGCAATCAGTGTGGCCTTGCTTAGGTGGCTATTTACTTTTAAATTCAAATATTTATATACTATACTATATATCCTTAGCGGTTGCTGTAATCTACATATATACATATGCACACATATTTTTGTTTGAAATATTTTGGCAAACCATGATTATGCCATAATCATTGTAATAGCTTAAGGCGTATGAGTTTCTATGCCAAGACTTAACCGCATGCCGCTGGTCTGCATTGCATATTAAAATTGTTCAAAGAACTTAAATATTACTTGATTTTGTGGTGCCTGTGGCTCCTTTGGATCAAAGCACCAGCAAATTTTACAAAGTGTTAAGCTCTTTTTCGAACAATTTTAATATGCAATACCTATAGCATATTATAATCGCTTCAAAATGAAACTTTGATAGGCACGTAATGAATGCAAATTAAACACAATAGCTGACGATGACGATGATTATCCTCCTATCGATTTAGGTATTTGCTTTTAATAATTCTCTTTGTATTGGTTTCTTGTTCGACAGCTACAGACCACAAATATTTACATGCGCTGGCGCTTGGAAACCTTTTGAAACTTGATATTATCATTTTATTATTTTACGAGGCTGCTCAAATATAGGAGGCTTTAAGCCAGAGGTGAGCAGCTAACACAACGCGCCCGCCTGGGCGTATGAGTACCGTTTTGGGTAATGTGACCAACTATTTCTTAGCTCAAAGAAGGACAGCTTAGGTTGGGTTAAGTTGACGCCGCGAGCCGATTACGATAATTTCGAATGCGGCTAATTTGAATCCCTGAGAACTCAGTGCCGAAATGCTTCCATCTTAGCCTCGTAAAGGTCGGACAGTCTAAAAGAAAGTGGGATTCGACCTCATCTTCCTCGTTGACAGCTGATACAAAATGATCAGTTGAAATTCCTAGTCTCACCGCATGAATACAAATCGCACAATGGCCTGTCGGAGCCCCCATCACACTAGCCCTTGAGAGGTAACGTGTTTTAAAGTGCTCTATAAAATTGCTGCAGCGGAGAAAGGTCTTCTTTTCTTTTTTATGTAAAAAAAGCAGTCGGTTTCCCTTAGCCTAATAGCAGTTCGTGATGCGATAATTCTGTCTGCAATATCCGCAGGCGCCGTATTCAACATATGTATATATATTAAGCACCAGTGTAGGTGTAAACCACACCTACTAATGTTCCGCTAATTGATATTTGACAAGTGTAGCCTTATCTAGTGAGTTCCACCAGACGAGAGCTCCTTGAAACAATATAGGCTTAAATCTGGTTTCCTAGAGCTAATGAATTAATATCTACTGACGCAGTATTCTTGATTGGTTATATGACCGCAAAGGAGGCTCGACAGCCCACCTCAAAAGTTGACACTGAGCTATATAGATGCGTGGTTACCAAGTCGTCGAGTATATCGACCATTTAAGATGCTCAGTACTACTCAGAGATGCTAGCGAAAAACGGTTCCAACTAGCCCATAAGGGCCATAAGGAATTAACAAGCTAACCTTCATGCCATGGATGGGTTCGATAGGTACATTTACGACCAACTTGGCTTGGTACGCCCCTGATTAACGGTATCAATAACACATCTCATACTCTTTTCAGAGGCCGTGGTCGAGATGTCAAGTCTACCACCAACCTAGTTCCCACGTGACGTACTCGGTTCCACTTATGGAAATGGCTAAAAGAACTATTTGCAAAGTTTGCGGTTACCAGAAAACGGACAAAGGGTAACTAACACCAGTCAACGAGTACAGGACCAATCTTTCTGATTACAATTAACTTATAGGACGCTCCACAATGCGGAGAGCAAAATATATGGGGGCTTTCCGTCTGCATAAAATTTGATCTAAGGAGTCTCCCTATGGGAGCCAAATCATGTTAAGGGACTTTTTTTAGACCATCATTCATCGCCAGGGTCGAAAAGTTAAAGCTTTTGCTTGAAATTGCTGATTTTGCTTATTCAGGGGTTCCAAGCTCAATATTAACGATCATGCTTATTTTGCTTATTTCAACGTATAAAACTAAGTACAGATCTTTAAAGTAAATGGTCAAGAAATAAATTGCTATTATTTCGTGTGTGTGAATAGTAGTGTCCAAGGAGTTTTGACATCTGATATTCTACAGCCGGGTGTCTCACTTTTTCTATACGAAATAAAGGAACGTGTATATATTTCTGTTGAAAACAAGGATGCCTTCTTGTGCTCTTCTCAAACAAACTTTAGCAAACCGTAGTAGAAAGCGTGGATAATTTCTTAAGAACTGCGTACTGCTTAAGAAAATTTTACTCAATAAATTTCTCTTTGCCATTTCTTTTTTTTTTTTTTTATTCGTCGGACTAAAGATATGTTTAGGCTTCAATAACCCGTAACTTCAATAGCATTTCTGGCTGGATACAAAAATTTAAAACCAATGGTTCGTACCAAATCCAATTTATAATAGTGAAAAATTGATTTCATAATAAAGTTCAACTTTTTTTTTCCTACCGTGACTAAATTCTCCACCTCCATGATTTTGCCCTTATGCACTAAGTTCTTCCATTGCTTTTTAGCTCTAGAGTTCTTGAAAAAGGAAAAAAGTTCTGAAAATTAGGCCGAAAAACATGTTCACAAAAAGTCGAAAAATCGTAATGTTTAAAAAAACTTAAAAACGTTTCTGCGTAGCTTTTCAATAGTTGTAGAGTTTCTGAAAAGGTAAAAATCTCCAAAACTACGCAAAAAAAAAAAATGAAAAATAGTCGAATTGTGCAGAACTTTTTTTCTTTTTCAGGAACTCGAGAACTATTGAAAATCTCCTCATAACAGTTTTTTTCAACCCTACTTTTTTGCTCTTTTGGAAAAAATATAGACACATGTTTGCAGAACCTTTGCTTCTATTTCAGAAACTATAGAGCTAAAAACAATGAAAGAACTTAGTGCATAAGGGTCAAAATCATGACAGTGGAGAATTTAGTTACGGTAGGCAAAAAGGTAGCCAAAACTTTTTATTTCTTTCTGCGACATCCCGTACGCCAACTTTAAGACAATAAATACATATTACTTTTAATTGCCTAGATGAAAAGGATATCTCCACCGGAGCATAATCGTCCAGGTCCAACGACATGACCGAGCCAGCGCAATCGTTATCATTTTATGAGCTTTACATGTCCATATCGTTAAAAGGCTTGTTGACTTCATCGCCCACGCGAACATGGCCATAGATCTTGAGTAGAAGGTGTCAACTCAGAATACAAAAGATCGTTCGGGTCTGCAATATAACTAACGTTACATGATATCTCATATTTTTCTTTTTGCCTTGCGGATATTGCATTGTGCCAATGTTGTCCATCTTTCAGTTTCATGCCAGTGGCAAGCTCGAGCTAATGGGCAAAACTGATTTTATAAAAATCAAAAACACAATCTCGTTTCTCTATCACTTTATAGGGTCTTTGTTAGAGCAACTGAAGCCAAATCAAAAATTTGTCTGCCTGTATGTACCTATGTATGTTTGTAGGCGCATCACTCGAAAACTAATGCATGGAATCGAATGCAGTTTTCACCGATGCAATGCTAAAGGCCTAACTTAAAATATAGGAAGAAAATAATCATAGAGTTGCCACCTGTTTCAAAATGAAGAGGTTTAAGAAAGCATACAAATGAATATATTTTTGTGAAAGGTTGCCACCTGTTTGAAAATTTGAATTTGATTTAATTGATAAGATAAATTAAATATTGCAACATGGGTATCAAATTAAAGAGGTTTAGGATAGTTTCCTGCCAAAAATATTTTTGAGGAAACTTGCCACCCGTTTGAAAATTTTTAACCAATTATGAAATTGATAAAATAAATGAAATATTACTACATGGATATCAAACTAAAGAGGTTTAACAAAATTTACTGCCGAAAATATATTTGTAGCAGGTTGCCACCTATTTGAAAAATGTTATTCAGTTAAAGTAATAAGATATGGTAAATACTGATTTAATACAAATGTGAAGGAAATGCACGAAATGTAGAACCGAGTTAGAAGATTATAAATTAAATTTCCATTATTATTCATAAAAATAAAGTATGTTTTATAAATAAAAAAAAGTTCGAAAGTCTCACTTCATAAAGCTCTTCTAACCTATTTATTTTTTATGAATGAAGTTATAAGAGTTGTGGAAGAGAGTAACAACACAAAAATACTTTTTAGGTGCAGTGAAGCACGCCGGGTGTTTGCTAGTTTTAAATAATTTGGAAATAAAACCCATATTTAAAATTTTTTAAACCCCCTTAGTAAAGCACAAGTATTAATATTTTCGAAGAACTTACCACTGTTGGATCCATTTACAATGCTGCAAGAAAATGAGATAATATGTTTTTAGTAAAATCTCTAAAATACTTTGTTAAAAATTATTATCATGAAATCATAAATTAAAGAAAATTTTAAATCTATAAAAAAAAATTAAGCAGGATACCATTTTAACATTATGTTTTCACTCCTCCAATACCTACAGTTGAAATATTTGTGCGACAAGTTTTGTTGCTCACATATTGATTGAATTGTATTTCGTGAAAAGTTCAACGCACTCAACACTGCCTATTTTCCATATCACATTTGAATTTAGCAAACTTCGAACGCCTGTCAGGGCAAATCCTTGGACCGAAAACACTATTCATCTATTCAGCCTACGCATGCAACACGCAAACCGTGTGAGTGCATCATTGTCGCAGTGGCAAAACAGCACAAGAAAAGTTGCTGAGTGCCAAATATGTATTTAGACACAAATATTTGGTTAGAGGGGAAAAACTACAGAAAGCATTTTACAGCAGAAACTAACGTCTTAAACGGGTATGTACTTGTACGTGCGTGTCATACGGCGGCAGCACTTAAAGCTGCAACTGTGCGACTACCTGTTTGGCGGCAGCCCACTTACACCTGGCGTCCCTCAATAGTCCACTACTAGCCCACTCGCCTAACTGCCAAGCTGACAATTGCAAATGTGAAATCACAGTTGCATGCAACGACAAAATAAAAATTGCCTATGACTTTGCTACATTTTCACATTTTCTACGTTGCAACAAGAGAAAAATCAACAAAACTGGCAGAAGCGTAGCACTGGAAAACAGCAAATGGCTAAAAGAGGTTTTTTGGAAAAATGTTTGGTTGATTCGGGTGCTGGCCCAGAATGCATACTTTTGGCTAGGTAGATTTGAAATGACGACGCTGTGAGTTACATTTGTATGGCATTTGCTGTATTTTAACTTCTGTTCGGTTTTTATTTTTTATTTTATTTTTTTTTTTTGTGATTACAGATTTGCACACCAGCATACCAGCTAGTTCAGCAACTATTGAATGAGTTTTTTTCTGTATCAGGCAGAATTCTAGCAGAAAGACGTACACGATCACTCGGTGAAAACCTGGAGAAAAAATTTTATTTGAACAAAAATATGAGATAATGCCATTTTAAAATTACATTGAATAAATATTCATAAAAATTCGTTTCTATGAAATTTGCCAAGCTTTTGTAACAATACTTGTGCGATAAACATTTGCGTTCAACTCAACGCAGTGTTGCACGGGAAAAAAGTTGAATGGCTAAAAATATCTAAATATGAAAAAATATCAAAATATTCCCCGTTAAAATGCGTTTGCAATGTTCAACTTTGCATTCAACTTTTGGTTGAACGGCTTTTCAACAAATCGCTTTCGACAAAGTTGATCGCCAGCCAACATTTAGCCATTCAACTTTTTTTTCGTGCAACCCTGCCTTGAGTTAAACGCAAAGTTGAACAATAAAACTACGCTAAAAAAATTATTGCTAATTGTATGAGGGATTGTATCTTCAACGTGAGGAACTCCAAATAAGATGGCTACCAGGAGAATGTTGTAAAGATGTAAAGAGTACGCTTTGCAATTCACCTCGTTCCGGACGCTATTCACTGCATTGAGCTTGGTCGAAATCCAAGTCTGACAATAATCCGTTGAATACCACTCGAGCTTCAAAGGTAGCCAGATATTTTCATCATGTTTCCCTGCCTAAGAATGTTTGAAACACATTTTGCGGGGTAAAAATCCGAGCACAAAATAAAAAGTTATGGAAAAATATTCAGCGAAAGTGTGATGTTACAGCTGAGTATTTATGTATGTGCTGCATGCACAAAATATCGAGAAATATATGCCAAATAAAATGCTGCTTCAAGGATTTTGTGGGAAAAACTAGCAAAATTATTTATTGTCCCGTATTCAGCTGCCATAATTATGGTCACCGTTGGTATGACAGAAATTCGTCCCAAAATATGTACAACATCTTCTCAATTTCAACACAATTACAGAATGAATACACTTATTTCAAATCATAGTGATAAAAAGTCATGGCGAATGGCGAATAAGTAAAACGCAGCTATTTTTGTGCAGCGCAATAAAAAGTGTACTTTGGCTCGCATTTATAAGGAAATAAAAACAGTAAAGAGCAAAGTACTCGTACTTAAATTAAATAGTAAACTGAAACGAAATATTTACGATTATATGCGTTATAAAAATTAGAGCGTTCGGGTCACTACCCTGTAGGGAAACCCCGAACTGGTGAACCAAATTTGTAGTTCCGTACTAGATCTTTATCGCCAAAAACGAACCAGTCCGATAGTAACTGGATCGCCACCAATTCAAAAGCAGCGATATGTGGTACTTTTAAAAAACAATTTAAGAAATCTATATCTAAAATGACGAATTTAGAACTGGTTCAAAACTATAGAAAAAGGGATGCAGAACGAACTAGATCTCACCTGGCGAATTTTGAACTTGTTCGAAACTACTGAAAAAGGGATGCAGCGGAGGGCTTGTTTACTTTAATTAGACTTTTGCTTGGCGGGTTTTTCGTTCAAATACGCTTTCAGTCTGCACGTCGCAGATGCTTTTTCATAGTTTGGTAATACAAAACTAATATTTGTGTTAACATCTTAACATTTTGGGACCTTCTGGAATATTACCAATAACAGTCAGCACCTCTGCAAATTCAGCTACAGCCAAAGGTATGTAAACGAGTTTTGAAATTCACAATTTAATTTACATACATTCGTTCAAACAAATTTGATTTGAATGATTGAAAATACATTTCTCTGAAAATAATTAAAAAATGCCTACCATGGTAACCCAAAAAGAAAACATCTTGTTACTTTTTTCGTTTACAACTGGTTCGAAACTATAGAAAATGAGGTGCAAAGCGAACTAGATCCCATATGTCGAATTTAGGACTGGTTCTGAACTATAGAAAAGGCAATGCAGCGGGGGACGATTTCCAATTCCTATGGCATCACTGTGTTAAACTCGCCAGTTGTTTGCATGCAAAAGAAATTTATCGCGAACTAGTAGTGGTTCTATATGTACTAGAAGGGCACCAGTTCAAAACTAGAGATTTTCCCCACAGGGTAGCTAACGGAAGTATGTATGCGCGTAAGTACATATGTGTGTCTCCAGCTGCTGACGCGCGATATTAATAAATTATATCATGGAAGGAAATGGCCATGGAAATGTCGAAATGACCTTTAGAAATCAACTAATGCTGGCAAAGGACGGAAAATAATCATACATATATGGCTCATTCCATCTCAAATCACCCAGGCCGGGGGAAAAAGAATTTAAGTTTGCGATAAAACTCACAGGGATTGTTCCTTGAACAATTTAAGGAGACGCGTATTTTTCCTTTTTGCTCAGAAATGCGAATTTTTCAAATAATGAATTTTTCTCTTTTTGAGTATGAATGCTTCTTTTTTTCTCTCTTAATAGCAACTTTTGATGAAATCGTTTATAACTGCCGCAAAAAAGCAAGGATTTTAACGATTTTTTTTTAATTGCAGATATTGATCTACTGAATCGATCTAGTGAACTAAACATCAGTAATTGTTTATTAATAATTAATTATTGTTTATAAACAAAAAAATTTTTTTTTTCAAATTGATTTTTTTCAAATTGCCACATCTTTTTTTTCTCTCAAACTTTTTTGTCTATTGGGGAATAGTATAAACTATTTTCAGTACGAGTAGCAATATGCTAAAATTCGTCATTTTCGAGTTATGATTTTTTTTCTGAAAATGCACTTATATGATGCTAGCAGATTTTCGTGCCAGTTGAGGGCACAAAAATTGTTGCCCATTATGACCAAATTTCCTTGCTGGAAATTTTTTGAGGTTGCCCGATCAGAGCCAAAAGTTTTTCCCAATTGGGCTCTAATTTTGGCCAAATTGGGCCCAATTAGCGATTTGCCCAATCTACCGGAGATTTCCCCAACCAGTGCTCACAATTTGCTCAAAGTGAACATGCATACGCAATTAAAACGTTTTTATCGATAAAATCACACATACACACATCAAAATTCCCTACGAAAAAAAATATTTTTTAATTTTTTTCTTGAAAAATTTTCCACATACAAATTTTTTGATAAAAAAAATTAGTTTTTGAAAATATGCCATTTCAAAAAAAAAATGGAAAAAATCACAATGGTAGCTCTGAGTATTGCACAATATTTAAGTATAATGTTATGGGGTGCACTCTACAATAATTTGAGTTATGAATTTTTTTTGCAATAGTTCAGGTGACACCCAGGTTAACTTAAGTGAAGTTTTGAAGTTGTAATAAAATTATCTAATTGTAAAGGTGAATAATAAAGACAAATTGCATGAGCACACCAACGAGAATTTCAGAAACGATAACATAAAAAATGAAGTAAGACATAAACAAAAAGTAAAACTTGAAGTAAACGTTAAAACCAAATGTGCGCCTAAAGATGCCCCAAGGGAGACGTTTAGCGTGGCCAAATTAAGGCTGTCATAAAATAAAATAAAATTTAACTTAAATCTAAGGAATCACAGTTAAGGCAATTTTATTGCTTCAAATTTTAAATAACATCATCTGTGTAAGCCGTTGGGGGTTGACTGGAAAGCATTCCATTCACACCGGCATGTGCCAAAATTGTCGCAACCCCTTTGTATATGTATGTATGCATGTCGCTATGTACATATGTAACCTGAAAATTGCCAACTTAAGCAACGCGCCAACAAACCAACGCTGTCTTTACCGGCAACATTGACGCCAGAAATGACATGCTGAAAACCGCAATAAATAGCTGGTCATTCGGCAGGCAGTCGTCGCACTGTGGGCTAAATTGATTTTTTTTTTTTTTTTTTTTTTGTTTAAAACCTAATATAACGAAAAAGAATGGGGATAGGCCAAATGTTTTTTAAATAAAATTTGAGCTATGCCCATTAGAGGAAAAAGTAGAAGGTTGGTCGAGCTTTGCTCGGAGTGCATATATTTTTTTAAATATTCATGGTGTTGATAAATTTTAGCTTTAATTTT